CAGTGCAGCATCCCAAAGCCTTAGCCCAGAAGGTGGCTGCCTTCCTCCCCAAAGTGAGGAAGAAGAGGCAAAAGGTGGTCTTAGGAGATAGATGCCCTAAGTGAGCTTTGAATTCTTTCAAAAGCAAAGTAAATCACCAATCACTTTGTTACTGTGGACTGCAAGATGGGCTGGTGGAGATGCTTTTTACACAAGACCACAACTCAAAGGCTGAAAAGATACACTGAGTTTAAGAACGATTATGTGTCTCTTCTGGAAAGGCAAATTGTTTACTCTCTGATGGGAAGATGCAAAGAGGATTATGATGGCAATATCCTTCCTCAGGCAGGTTTTTGGTTGCTTTTTTTTTCTGGCAAGAGAGATCTTTCCTAATAAATAACTGCTCTTTCTTATGAGCTAGCCTTTGTCAGTGACCACAGGACTGCATAGACACAAAATAGATTTTATCTGCCCAAAACAGCTCACAGACATTGACTATCATTTTGTTTTCTTTACTGGGTAAAAGGAGGAAAATGGCTTTTAAATTAGATGTTGAACCACTTCCAGAATGGCAATATAAGATACTGAATCAATCATTCTTCATACAGTTACCTCCTACTCCACAAGCTCCTGCTACCATAAAAAGTGGTTGTTGCCAACTGAGCTGAGTGAATAATTTTCAGTTTCATATTTGTTAGAGGAATTTTTCCTTGTCTTCTTTTACTTGTCCATGAGCAGATTGATTTTCTTGATTTTTTTTTTCCAAAAACATGTGCTGCAATCACTCTGCAAGTAATTCTTGCTGTAAATCATTTTTCAGCAATTGGTTGTGAGAAGTCTTTAAACATTTGTCCGAATTTCATTTGCTCGATAGGAACTTGACTCACATTGTGCCTGTTTCTGTGAATATGACATCAAAAGAGCTAGTTTTGAGTATTCTGCCTGAGAACAATCCTGCTTCTGAACCTAGAAAACACACATAGAAAGCACATTTATTTGGAAATTATTTAAGACTTAGGGCTGCACATTCACTGAGATGCTACACGACATGTAAACTACATGCATCGGTAATTTTCATGCCAATGAGCAGATAGCTTTCCCAGCCCTATTTTACCTGCTTCACAACTTGAATCTGCTCCTCACCAGAGCTTTCTCTCATCCCAATTGATCACAATTTCTGTCTCACAAAACACCCCATGAGAGATGAGGCTTTCAACAGCATATAAAGTGGCAGGGTTCCAAATTACGACTGAAATGATGCACAGGTTCACCATTTAAAAATTACGTGATTCCCAGGAACAATGAAAGGGTTCCCCTGGTTATTGCATCTTAATGAAAAATACAAATTATCCAAACACTAGCTGAAGAGTCTGATCCCAACCCTGCTGCAGTCATAGAATCACAGAATCCCAGACTGGTTTGGGTTGGAAGGGACCTTAAAGCTCCTCCAGCTCCAACCCCTGCCACGGGCAGGGACCCCTTCCACTGGAGCAGCTTGCTCCAAGCCCCTGTGTCCAACCTGGCCTTGAACACTGCCAGGGATGGGGCAGCCACAGCTTCTCTGGGCACCCTGTGCCAGCGCCTCAGCACCCTCACAGGGAAGAGCTTCTGCCTAAGAGCTCATCTCAGTCTCCCCTCTGGCAGATTAAAGCCATTCCCTTTGTCCTCTCCCTGCAGGCCCTTGTCCAGAGCCCCTCTCCAGTTTTCTTCTTGAGCCCCACTCTCAGTCAGTGGCAAGCCTTCCTTCCTCCATTTCCTATATGGAGGAAACTGCCCTTCTCAGACTAAAATACCTTCTCGGGTAAAATACCATCTTTTCAGATAAAAGTGGGAAAGAAGGATTGCACTGTTCAGAGGCATCTGCGTACTTTACCATGTGTGCTCTTAAAAGGTGTTAGAATAACTCTGCAATATTGAAAATGAGGTGGAAGTGCCATCATACACCAGAGTTATAATTTCAAATTCAAGTCTTGCAGTTGGCCTGAAATATTGTGTGTAAAATATAGGCCTTGGCTCTTGTTGGTATGCAGTGGGAATACTTTGCTGGTATTTCAGATAATGTAAACAGTTGCTGCAACTGTCACTCAGACACTTTATGATGTTAAGTAGAAAAAATGGAAATGAAAACATAATGAAATTCATGGATGATGATGTCTGTGATTGTAAGTGGGATGCATATTTGTGTCTCTTCCATTTTTCCTTTGCAGCAGATCCATACTATGAAAACAGGAAAACCTTGAAAAACAGTTTAAAAAAAAAATCAGTATAGATATAATGAAGACTGCAAGTCATGAACAAGTGACATTTTTTCAGAGATGAATTTTGCAAATGGAATTTATATTTTTCTCTCAAACTTCTGAAATGATTTTTAAGTTTGTCAGTGCAGAAAATAATGTACTGTATTAATGTCTTTCAGCTGCATCATAGAATCACAATCACAGACTCTCAGACTAGTTTGGGATGGAAGGGACCTTAAAGCTCACCCAGTTCCAATCCCCTCCCGCGGGCAGGGACACCTTCCACTAGAGCAGCTTGCTCCAAGCTCCATCCAGCCTGGCCTTGAACACTGGGGCAGCCACAGCTTCTCTGGGCACCCTGTGCCAGCGCCCCACCAACTTCACAGGGAAAAGTCATCTGAGATGGACTGAATTTTAACACTTGATGCTCATAAATAACTCTTGGGATAATTTAGTCTGCTACAGAAATAAGTTGATGCTGAGCATCGAAGTTCCCTCAGCCCAACTTTCAAACTAGCAGTTTAGGCTTCTCTACCAAACGGCATTTAAAGCCAACTGCAAGACTTGGATTTGAAATTGTAACTCCACATTCCAAATCCATGCCAGCCACGGGAAGAGGAGAGCCATGGCCACCTTCCCAGCTCCAGGCAATGCTCCTGAGGTGGCTGATGCCAACTGTGAGTGTGCAGCTGTAATGCAGAGCGAAAGCACCGTAAGACATTCAGATGAGGTAATTCTTTTGTGTTAATTTGCATCTCATTTCTGTGAGGTAGCTGTACACAGCCAGCATAGGAACTGAAAATCAATAGAGCCTGATTCGTGCTGCCCTTTCTGAGCAACAATGGGTTTTATGCTCAACTCATAAATCAAGCTCCTGAGGACAAGAAAATTACTATGAACCTGAACAATACCAACGTACACTTGGAAGAGCTCCATACTTCTTCTTCCACCGGGAGCAGAATAGACAGCTCGTAGGTTGTTTCGATATATGCCAAAGTTAAATGTTACAGCTTCAGCAACAGCAAATAAATCCACGTTTCTGTTAAGTTATTCAACCAATGCAGTGCTGTATCCACTCTCTAGAAAGATCTGTGTTTTCCCCTTGGAGTGGGTAATGCTACCTGCATCAGTTTAAAGGCTGGTACTGCCATTTTAGAGACGAGGCACAGCAATTCCCGCATCAAGAGATGTGTGTGGTATTCCTCTTCCTGCTAGACATGAATCTCAACTATAACAGAAACTTTTTAGTTTTACTTACAGTTCATGCTGAATCATGTAAAATGTGACTCGGAAGTGCACTTTTCACCATCAACTGGTATTTTTTCCCAGTGCCTATGTTATGCAACTTCATATTTGTTGTTCTGATACTAACAGAGTTTTAGGGCAAAGAAATGGTGACGTGCTGGCATACAATTTTCTAAACATTTGTAAGAATAGAGATTCTTTCCATGCATTCTTTTACCTGTAATTATTACAGAGACCTACAATGTTATCCATGAGAGGATAGTGTTCAAGGCCAGGCTAGACAGGGCTTTGAGCAAGCTGCTCTAGTGGAAGGTGTCCCTGCCCGTGGCAGAGGGTTGGAACTGGATAAGCTTTAAGGTCCCTTCCAACTCTAACTATGCTGTGACTCTGATTCTATGAACAGCCAGAAACCACAGCAATCATTTAAATAACAGCACTCTGTGCAGGTTCATGCATAGTTTCATACCTGTGGCTCACATCCACCTACAACAGAATGAAACACTTCATTAAACTCCACTGATGGAGTTTAACAGTTTTGCATTTCTGGACCAAGTGATGCAAAATAACACAAAGTACACTGTACACCACATACTCTTACTCTATAGAGCAGGTTTAATCTGTCTAATTATACCACAACTGCCTGGCAAATACCATGTAAATACATTGCAATTGCATGTTCCTGCAGCTTACTTGTTAATTATGCATTGTTACTAACAAGTTCAACAATGAATTATCATAGTGCTTTCAGCATTTCAGTGCTTGCAAAGCTCCTAGGCTGTGTAAGAATGGAATTAATATTATTAAACGCTTGCTTTTCTTGGTTTCCCTTTGGAATGGGGAAACAACCCACCTCTCATGTCCAGAGACCTATTAGCCTATACTTTAAGCAAGTATTTCTTACTGGTACAGCAGAGGTATGCTGCCTTGCAACACAAAGGACACTTTTACCAGTAAGGAAATCTGGACTAATTAACAAAAAAAAACGTAATTTCCATTAATAAATCACTTCTAAATTCCATTTAGTAATACTCCTAAGCAAATACTGTACCTAACATCACTGGCACTTTCACACAATAGAACTCATGCTGTTTTCCTGACCCAATATTTGATCATGCACACGCTAAAAATGAGAGGAAAACCTCATTTCACTGATGTCACTACCAAAACGTCTATTGATTTCAGTGAGGTCAGGGCTCTAACCAGACAGCTTACTTGTAAATGGGTTCTTGAAATAGCTTATATTATGTCAGAAATACATCACCATGTAAGGCCATTTCATAGTCCGTGCTAGCTCTACAAACTGCACTGCAATATTTTAGACAACTTTTATCAGGTATTTTAATAGTATTCAATAAAATATAATTAGCCTATTAACACTGCTCTTCTCCAAAGTGAAGGTTCCCTTTAAGTTATGACTCCATAATGGTTGTTTGGTCAACCATTTACACCAACTTTTAAAACCCATGTTGGATCACCTTGGGTTTTCTTTTAGATTTTTTCCCAGTTTCATTAGTTTCATATTGATTTTCAGCCTGAAAGGTGAGCAAGGAGGTGCATGTGTTAGTCGTTAGGCATTGCAGGTTCAGTATGAGCAGAAACAAAACAGTCAGCTATTGTTAGCTTACACGAGTCTTAACTATGGACTAAAACCCTGCTGACATTGGCCATGCATAAATGCAAATAAAAGTGGTGACCACAGGGCACTGAAGGAACACACTGGGGATGAACCAGACACATGGAGAAGTGGGAGAGGATGGAAGAAAGGAGACAGCAGTGTTGCTTGTGCTGACAGGTAATGCTGCTGCATCTGTGCACAAGACAGGAAAACAAGGTTTTTCTGACAGCGTCTTGAGGATGATCAGGAGCTGATAGCTTTGTGGATGAAATGAAGTCCTGGCCGCAGAAAAAAAATCTGGGATTATCATCTGTTGGAGAGACGAGTCCGTAGTTTCCTAGTGAAAGAGGTGGCTGGGGAGGTGGGTCAAGGAGGGTATGGAGAATGCAAAGAGCAGTAACGAATGTTATGGATGCGAGTTGTAAGATCATCAGAGCCTAGTTCAAAGCTTTATTTTTCAGCTAGGGTAGAAAAGCATGTATCTTAAATGCTATTTCTGTCATGGAGAAATAACTGTCGAGTTTACATCTAATCTGTGTACAGGCTGACCCATAGTGTAACCTCTGCAGAAGGTAAGATCCTGGATGGGAATGACAAAAAAAGCAATATGTGATCAGACTGCTTACAGAATCTGGAAAATAAATCAGTGGGACAAGCTTGGAAGAGACTCTAACTGCCCCCCCCCCCCCGATTTAATGTACTGATCTTGAACAGATAACTCCACTGTCAAAGAATGCCAGAGACATGGGCTCAGGTTCTGGTGTTGAGAGAAGAAAAGTCTGTCCAGGAACGACAGGGGAATTCATGCTTGTGGGAGAGGCTCCTTAATGACCAAGTATGTAGGAAGCAGGGAATGAGAGGCAGGAGCGCTTACTAGGGAGGTAGAGAAAGAATGAGGATGATGTTCCAGTCTGTTTTGAAAGACCAAATAGAACAGAGAGAGTCTGACATACAAAAGTAAGGCTGCATTTTAGCAGGAGAATAGCTGGCAATGCTCATGGTAAGTTTTAAGGTTAAAGACAAGAGTAAGCGAAGGGACAAGAACTGGCTTAAAGAAGTCAAACATAAACCAGGATGGGATGAGATGATTGCAGCAGTGCATGACATGTTGGAGTATTTTATCATCCACCATGCTCTTTAATTGTGTTGTAACACTGGCAGTAATTCTACAAGAAGTACATTCTTCTTGAAGATCCCTGGCTCTTTAGTGGGAAAATAACTTCAGATGCAGAATGACTTGTTGGTTTCAATGAGTTTATTTTTATATGCCATAAACTGGCTGTAAGTAAAAGGGTGCTGTACGTTTCCAGTACTGTAAGACTAGCAGTATAATTGAGGCTCATTAGCCCAAATGCTGAAGCTGACAGTGTCTTTGAAGATGGTATCCTTGTTCCGATGGAATTACCTTCTTCTCCTTCACTCATTTCACTCCCTCCTCAATCCTGTCCTGGAGCCTGAAGAAATGTTTGTAGGTTCTCCTAGAAAAGAGACACCTTTGAAAGACAAAGGGAATGCGAATGATCTTTCTTCACTCCTAGGGTCTGATCTTGTTCTTCCTGAAATCTGCAGCGAGATTCCTGCTATCTTTAGTGGTACCAGCCATGGTGTGACCAGGCCAGATGCAAGCTTGAAGCACTCCCAGTGAAAAAGGCCTAAGCATACTGAACTGGGGAGATAGTAATTAATAACTATTTAGGAAAACATGGTTCCCTTGAAAGGCTAATTATTCTGAGAGTTACCCACTGAAAAAAAAGATCTAATCAATGAGAAAACAAATTAAAAATGAAGAATCTCTCCTAAAAGCAGACAGCAGAACACTACATTCAAGAGGACCGCCACCAATTAAAAAATGTCAACAACTCAAGTGGTAGCAACTTCAAAAGGGAAATCTTGTCCTCATTTTATATGCATTCTTCATGAGCAACATCAAGCAGTGTAACATACTAATAGCTAGTAACACTCAGGATAAAATTCACTAATTTACTAACTGAATAATTTAATGCATATCAAAGGAATGATTTTCTCATCTCATTCTTTTTTTAGATCTAACACTAAGCTGAGTATTATGAAGCAGATGAAACTGCACAGATTACAAGTAATAAAATAGCCATTTTAGAATTGGATTTTTTTTTCTGTTGGATGTCTCTTTTTGGTAGAAGGAATCACATACCCTTTTTTTCTTGTTATAATTCAGATTTTAAAAAACAACAATATGGAAAGTATCTTTGTGGACTTGTGATGTTTTGCTGAAAAGTGTGTTTTGCGGAGACAGATCTGTTATGATGTTACACTTCGGTGGGATGCAGGTAAGACCCTCTCTTGTGAGACTCCCCCCTGCAGCCCTGGTCCAGCTCTGGGACAACAGCACAAGAGGGACGTGGAGCTGTTGGAGAGAGGCCAGAGGAGGCCATGGAGATGCTGCGAGGGCTGGAGCAGCTCTGCTCTGGAGCCAGGCTGAGAGAGCTGGGCTGGGGCAGCCTGGAGAAGAGAAGGCTCCTGAAGGGGAGACCTGAGAGCAGCTCCAGTGCCTGAAGGGGCTGCAGGAAACCTGGAGAGGGGCCTGGGACAAGGGCCTGTAGGGACAGGCCAAGGGGAATGGCTTTAACCTGCCAGAGGGGAGACTGAGATGAGCTCTTAGGCAGAAGCTCTTCCCTGTGAGGGTGCTGAGGCGCTGGCACAGGGTGCCCAGAGAAGCTGTGGCTGCCCCATCCCTGGCAGTGTTCAAGGCCAGGTTGGACACAGGAGCTTGGAGCAAGCTGTTCCAGTCAAGGGGTCCCTGCCCGTGGCAAGGGGGGTGGAACTGGATGAGCTTTAAGGTCCCTTCCAACACAAACCAGTCTGTGGTTCTGTGACTCTAAACTGAAAATGTGGGACTGCAGAGACAGATCTGTCGTCCACCTGCCCCATGGTGAGAGATTGGTTTGATTCCAATGCAGAATAAAAGTCAAATGTTAATTTTTTAATTGCAAAAGAAATTTTCTACACTCCAAAATGCCAGACTAGGTATTGAAAAATGAAGAAAAGCTACATGGCAAGGATATTTTTTGTTTAATGTGATTTTTAGAAGTCTATTTACAGAAGTCGACTAAATTTAAGCAGTGTTTTGCCTTTGCTACTATTGCACACTATGTAGCCCACTACCATCTGCTAAAACACTTCAAGAATAGGTTACCAGTTAAAGTACCAAACAAAAAACCAGCTCTTCCTTTAGTTCGTGTGTCACAGTCAGAAAGCCCAGAGCGGCTCCAAACTGATAGACAGCCACCATTGTTTCAACATCTGTTTGGTGGCAGAGTGAAGCAGAGAGCCCCAGGTTCAACACCAGGTTGATGCTGTTCAGTGTCTTCACTGATGACCTTGATGATAATACAGAATGCAGAAATAGCAGATCTGAAGATGACATCAAATTAGAGTTGCTGACATGCCAAATACTAACATTTGTGGAGGGATCTTCAGGAACTTGGGATCTGACCAAACAGATCAAAATGTATACAGTCCCACATCTTGGGCAGAGTAATGGCATGTACCAGGAGAGGCTGGGAACTGCCTGGCTGAGCAGCAGCCCTGCCAGAGAGGACTTGGAGGTTACAGGGAACGTCAGGTCAAATGGTGTGCCTGTTGTCAATGGGGCAAACTGTACATTGGTCTACTTTTGAAGAAGGGTGTCTGGCAGGTTGAGGAAATGCATTATCCCTGTCTCCTCTGAGCTGGTAATGTCACACCTGGAATACTGTGTTTGGCTTTTGCACACACCCCCCCCCGTCCAGGTCAAGAGGACATTCAGAAATGGGAAGGGAAGGTAGCAGAGGGCTAGTGGGATGGCTAGGAACAGTTAAGATGCTTCAGAAGATCAGGGAGGCTGTGGCTTTTCATTCTGGTGCAGGGGGGGCCTAAGGGGTGATCTAATAGCAAGCTGCAACCATGTGAATGGGAGCTGGAAAGAAGACAGGGTGTCCTGGGTTCCCGAGCTGAAAGTCAAAACACTGCACTGCACCAGCTACCAAGAAGGGGAAAAATGACTGCTACTGCTGAACCCAGGACACAGGGCCAAGCTCTTTGTGACAGATGGCTTAGTAAAGGGTAGTGGCCACACACAGCAGCCTGGGAGGTTCAAACTGGCCATTAGGAAAAACTGCTTCCCCAGGAGGCTCCCACAGTAAGGAAGAGGTTACTCAAAGGGGGCAACCAAGATTTGCCTAGGTAAAATCACAGGAGACCTGCCCCAGTGCTGCTTTGAGTGGAAGGCAGGAGATGATCTCGGGGTCCCTTCTAACCAATATTTCTAGGATGTAACTCAGATTTAAGCCTGTGGCATTATCAAAACCTTACCTAGATTATGTTAACTAATTCGAAGTTCACTCATTACTAAATGACAGAATCCCAGACTGTTTTGTGTCGGAAGGGACATTAAAGCTCATTCAGTTCCAACCCCTCTGCCACAGACAGGGACCCCTTCCACTACAGCACGCTGCTCCAAGTCCTATCCAACGTGGCCTTGAACACTGCCAGGGATGGGGCAGCCACAGCTTCTCTGGGCACCCTGTGCCAGCGCCTCAGCACCCTCACAGGGAAGAGCTTCTGCCTAAGAGCTCATCTCAGTCTCCCCTCTGGCAGGTTAAAGCCATTCCCCTTGGCCTGTCCCTACAGGCCCTTGTCCCAAGCCCCTCTCCAGGTTTCCTGCAGCCCCTTTAGGCACTGGAGCTGCTCTGAGGTCTCTCCTTAAGGAGCCTTCTCTTCTCCAGGCTGACCCAGCCCAGCTCTCTCAGCCTGGCTCTAGAGTAGAGCTGCTCCAGCCCCAGGCAGCATCTCTGTGGCATGTGCACCTTATATGGAGAGAAAACAGACATGAATTTCCTGACTTTCCTTTATACCACCCAACATTTTGCATAGACTTATATTTCCTTTCTAAAATAAACTCCCAATCCTTACAAATTCTGCATATATGCGGCATCAAAGCATTTTGGGGAATTTTTCAGTCCATTTATATGCAGCTCTCTGGTGACAGAGACATGTTGTCAAGCAGTGAAGATGTCCAGCTTCTCCGGACAGTAACTGATGCAGTTCTTCTCTGAAAGTACTGATCACTGGGAAAACTGAGCCCCAAATACCAAAACACCTCTCTCTAATCACCTACTGTTTTGCAGAGGGCAATGGGATCCATCTACTAAGAAGGATCTGAGATTTATTTTTAACTTCGAACTTTCCTATGCATCTTAAAAAAAAAAAGCTGAATAAATCTATTTTCCTTTAGGAGGAGATGAGAAGAGAAAGAAATAGTCTGATACATTTTAGCTTAAGAAGAGAGGCTGTCACAGTGTTGTGTCCCATGCCAAAGAAAATCTTTTCCCCAATACTGTTGGCTGGGCCAACATATTTTCAAGACTTTTTGCACCAAACTGAGAGTTCTCCAACATGATGCTTCTGGGAACTAAGATTACTCTTCCAGTCCTGGGATTCAGGAGTACGGAAGGTAGTCCGCATCACAGTGATATTGCAATGATCACTCTGAAATGGAAAAATATCACACATCAGTGCTTTCATTCTGCAGCTTGAGACATACCTTTGGGAAGTCAGTTTCTGATTACATGTTTGGGCAAATGATGCCTTATCTGCATGCTTTTTTTATGTATCATCTTGATCTGGTAACTTGAATGCCATAACCAGAAATCTTTAATTGTACAGGGTTTTATGTCAGTGTAGTCCAAAACATATTCTTCAAACTATCAGCCCCATGAAGTCTGCTTGAGAAGCTGGAGATGTTCTGTCTCTGTTAGAGTAATCACATAAATTTTATGTAATAATAAGAATCCCCAACTAAGGTAATCTCAGACTCCTGGATATCACATATTTCTGTTTCCTAAAAATAAAACCCACTAAGTACATGAACTGGTACTGTAAACATAAGGGCAAATAAAAGGGTTCCACTGTTGCTGGACTCCTCCTCCCACTTGATTCCAGCAGTCAGCAAAAGTACTTATTCAGGATTAAGTTACAGTAAAGAATTGTTGACCCTGGTGTAACTGAGAGCATAAAGTCAAGTCAATGGGGTTTGCTTCATCTTGCGACATTTCAAATGGAGCCTCCACATTTGTTTGGATCATAATGAAACCATAGAGAAAACAGCTGTTTAAAACCAAAATGCAGTCTATAAAAGCTTCTCCAGAAGTATTTTTTATTGAAATGTTCACAGTTGAGTTATCATTATTTGCTTCTCATTTGGGCTGCATTCTAAATGCTGTATGTTAACAAACTTAGACCATTTAATGCCAAGTGCTTTACACATTTCTCTTATTGAAATTTCATGAAAGAAAGAATCACATTACATAAGTGATGCTAATACAGAAAACAGCCTCTCAGAGAACCTGGGTAAAACCCAGGCACTGCAGTAACCAGTGAAATTCCCACTGATCTCAAATGGAGACAGGATTCTAATCTATAGGTCTTTGCTGCATATGGCTAAGAAAAAATTATCTTGTTACTTATGTATCAAGAAACTTAGATCGTAATGAAGTCTACACTATCATTCATCATTGCCCTTATTAGACAAAATAAAGTGCTACTTCAGAGTGCAATAGTGTCCAGTTTTGAGTATGTGTGTAACTGCTGGAATATGCAGCAGATGCCAGTTTAGATAGGGCTGTAGACAGGGCTAGGCATTTGCTCTAATAATCTGCAGTTTTACTGTAGAATCTGAGCACAGCATTGACTGTACTGAGGTCTGGGAGAAATGTGAACCGTTAGCATTTAGGGCTTAACTGTATTGTGATATGTTCAGTAGTAAGTCATAGGTCATCAGGAGATGGAAAGCGGCATAAAAATTAAGCAGATTTTAAATAACTTTTATTATCATTAATATAAGACCAGGCATAGTGGTTTACCTTTATTTAATTAGGAGACATTTTTCATCTGTGCGAAGCACACTGAAGTGGGCTGGTTCTGTCATTCTCCCTCTTACAGAGTGTTTTTTGCAGCAGTTTTCTGTTCCACAACTCAGCCATGCAGGGCTGTGGGGTTTGATGGTTGATTTCTCTAGCAAAAGGAAAAGATGAATTAGGGCTGCTCTAGGACACCACTGGTCAGGAACAAGACGAGCAGGAGTGGTTTGAGATGGGATTTGCTCTGTAGGACATTATTGTCTTCCAGTTGCAGAAATGGTAGAGTTCTCTGAATGCTGCTCATCAACATCAGTGCAAAGGTATTTTCCTAATTGGTATTTTTTGACAGTTACTAAGATGTTACCTAGTTATCAGCTCATCACGGTCTGGGAACCATTTAGAGAAATGCAGATTTTTATTTACAAGGTGGTTGACCCTAAATAAGTCAGTCTGGTGCTGCTTAAGCAGCTTAAGCAACTGTAAATCAGGATGAGAGCCACACAAACTCTACTTGAGGTGTTCAGATGAAAACAGAGGTATGAAATTGTTTATAATCAGACTTGACAATATAAATTCAATGTGAGATAGGCTTAACTGTTTTAAAAATAAAACTTCAGATTCTTTCCAATAGCTCCAGTCCTTAAGCTATTCAATCCTGCAGTGCCTATCCCGTGCCTGACTTTCTGATTTGGTTCTAAGATTACTATTAATAGATCAGAAGTGAGGGAAGAAAGAAGTCAAATAAAGAAGTGAAAATACCTCATTCTGCAAGCCCCCGTGTTTGTTTATTTGCATTCTTTATTTTGGAGAAGCATCTTCAGAAGTTGAGTTTTCTGGTGGGGATGAATCTTTCCCTTTGGTGACTCTGGACCATCCATCGCTCGCTGCCTCCCCCCAGTCCCGGCTGGGGTTGCTAAGCGACATGTTCTTCTCTTCTGTACTTTAGCAGAGAGGAACAGATCAAAGACACCCACAGTCCTGAATTATTTTATAAATTGATTTAAAGAGACACTCTCCCGCGCTGTATTATGTAGGGGGAGATCAAAAGTTGCTCTATATACTGAGAGTACCTGGAGGATTAAACTGACGTCTTCTGGAAAATAAGAATGTTCTCATTACTGAGAATTATGCAATATTTACCTTTTTCTTTTTCTTTCTTTTCCAGAACCAGACTATGAATTCATGCTAAGTAACGTTTCTATAGTTTTATGGCAATCAAGACATTGAACAGGGCCAGGCTGCATGTTTGTATGACTTTCAGCAGTAAGGTTTTCTGACCGCGAGTGAGGAGCTTGCTGGTTTTTAACTCTTTTCATCTCTTGCAAAAGAAGGAGTCACGTTACTCAAAAACTTATCATTCTCTAAACTTTCAATACTTTCTTGACTTACAGTGAAGACAAGAAAGTCACAGGGTAAATTCAAGTGGTATCTCTTTAAAAGAACAAATGAAGGTAAGAAAGTAATCTGTGTACATCAGGCAAAAAACCCTAAGACACCAGGATCCTTGGTCCTTTCTGAAATGAATGAAAATCAAATGAAGGATCTTTAATAACAAAACCTGGGAATACATGAGTTTAAATGTTACCTCTCAAAGACAGCATGTAGCTGGCCTCAGCTCAGGTCTGCTAATCTGTGCACACTGGGAGATCAGTCGGTGCGCACTGGCAATTCAGGAGAGCGTTTGCTGAAACAGGAAAGGGAGAACTTAATTGCCCTTGGAACTCCTCAGTTTCAAACACTGTCAACATTGTAAAAGGAAAACTCCCACCACTTAGTAACAAAGTGCAAGAAATTGTCAAGCCTTCCATTTCCCAACACACCATTGCTGCCCAGCCTGAAGGAAAAGGAGAGGCACCTTAATAACATGCTTAGAGCAGTGCCCAAGCGAGACCCAGCCTTTATGTGATAAGCAGAAGTCCCAGCTCAAACAGCTGCAAAAAAAGCACCCTGACACCTGCACACAGAATCCTTCCCATAGGCAAACCTCATTTTGTCCCAGCTACCTCATCTGCACAACCAAATGTCTCCTCTAACGCAGCTGTGGGGCCTTGCTCACACAAACAGATGCATCCCATGGGTTCAGGATCACTGTCTTCGGGTATAAAGCATGCCCGGGTGCAGCGCAGAGCTCACTCCTCGCTCCCATCCTGTGCCTGCAATCCCACATAGACTTGAGAGGAGATTAGTGAAACCTAATGCACTCTGGGGCTGTAAAGGGATAATCTCACATAAATCTTCACCAAAAAAAAATCAGTGTTAGCATTTATTTACATGCCTTTTACTTTCAGTGAGAAACCAAACCTCCTTTCTCCTGCATCAGTAAAGGTCTCGTCAGAATTCTAACTGCTTAGCTTTGGCACTTAAAATCCACTGTACTGCAGTTAACCTCTCTTCTTATGAAAGCATATTTTAGAAAAGGCCTTTGGCAGCTTTTCCATTCATTACTAGATACCTGTTACATGGGCAAGATGAGGGTGCTGGGGCCCTGGCAAAGGTTGCCCGGAGAAGCTGTGGCTGCCCCATCCCTGGCAGTGCTCAAGGCCAGGTTGGACACAGGGGCTTGAAGCAACCTGCTCTAGTGGAAGGTGTCCCTGCCCGTGGCAGGGGTTGGGACTGGATGAGCTTTAAGGTCCTTTCCAAACCAAATCATTCCATGATTCTGTAAAATGTGTTCTTTATTCTCACTGATAGAGCATTTTATGTACAAATACCTTGACCACTGCTATGTTGTCAGTGATTAGCAGATCCAGTGTGTTTTGGCTGAATTTCTGAAGGGGAAAACTGTGATTTGCACTCTAAATATTTTTTCTGGAGAATGGATTCCTCAACAGACTATGGGCATCTTGTACAAAATACAAGTAAACATTCAGAAAGGAATTTAATGCTTCTGGGCAGGTATCAAATCACCAGCCATGGAAACCAAAATCCCCGGGACTGCACCACTGTTCCACTAAAATATTAACTAAACATTTTAGTTAATATTTATTACAGTATTTTATTAGTATTGGTAGAATTTTGGTTAATGAATGTAGTTATTTTGAATTGCTGCTCCTCTTATTTCTGGAATGCTGCAAAACATCTTCTGCAGCTGGATCACGGGTACGAGCAGTCAGGGCAGAGGTTTGGGCCTATGAACAAGGGATGATGCTTGTGGTAAGTGGGAGGCCATTGAAAGACATTGAGAACATTAATAATGTCACTTTATAGAATCATAGCACCATGGAATGGTTTAGGTTGAAGGGACCTTAAAGCTCATCCAGCTCCAACCTCTGCCATGGGCAGGGACCCCTTCCACTGGAGCAGCTTGCTCCAAGCCCTTGTGTCCAACCTGGCCTTGAACACTGCCAGGGATGGGGCAGCCACAGCTTCTCTGGGCACCCTGTGCCAGCACCTCAGCACCCTCACAGGGAAGAGCTTCTGCCTAAGAGCTCATCTCAGTCTCCCCTCTGGCAGGTTAAAGCCATTCCCCATTGTCCTAACACTACAATCCCTCATGAGGAATCCATCTTCAGCATCTGATGTACCTACAGTGCTTTGCCTGCTTAAAGCACCACAACGTAACAGTAATCAGTGATCTGGATGTTTCTGAAATGATCAGCAGTGTCAGTTGAATTGTCATTAAAATACAATTAACAGCCCTCTGAACTGAGTGCTGTAGTTCACAACAGCCTAATTGGTGGCTCATGGGCCACATCTGGACAACAGGAGGATTGTGTCTGCTCTTCCTCTTCTCTAACTGCACCAGCTCAAGGAGCACCTCCTCCCAGGAGTGCAGCTGTGCCCACAAGGACAGACACGCAGAGCCATTCTGTGACTGGAAAGGCACAAAGTGTCCCTTGTGTCCAGCCCACTGTGCTAAAAGCCTGGATTTTGTAAGCTCGCTTCATCCTGCGTGCAGACTGGGGCAGGCACAGCCCCACAACTTCATAATTTGCAATTCAAATCAATTTCTCTTTTTTTTTTTTTTTTACTTGGCTTTCAGAGTACAGCTTTGTGCAGCAAGAGTTTAGTCATGAAATAAGGGCAGCCCATGGTAAGACAAGTTAACTGGGCTGCCTACAGCTATGGGTGATGCGCTGGTAGACCATGCGCTGGTGTATGTTTGGGTAAGAGAAAGAATTTAGTTACTGCAGCAGACTGAAAGTGAAGGTATGGCTTGGATGGTGCTCCGAAACCTGGCATCTATATCTCCCATTTAGGCAGCTAAATCTATCACTTATGTGCTTTAGCTACCTGTGTTAACTGCATAAATGCCGAAAAAAAAAGACATGTTTTTAAGATGTTAGAAAGATAAATAGCTGCCTCTGAAATGGCCACAGTACAGATTTTTAGCTCCTATGTGCTCTTCGAATGATACCACTTACAAATGCATCGTATTTGGTGTTGTGTCTAGCTGTAGTAATGTATTAGTATCTGTCTGTAACACAACTGATGCTCCTGAAAAAAAAGCACCATAGAATATACTTTAAATACTGCCTTTTTGTATGTCTTACACAACTCTTCATTAATACCCAGAGAACAGCATGCCACTGTTCCAGGTTTTTGATGAACCAGTCCTCCTGCTCTCCACCAGCTCCTCTTGCCTGCTTCCTAATGCCTTTCTTATTTATGTTTTTACTTTTGCAAACTCCAATTTAGAACCGAAAATGTTCACACTTTTGTTTCTTAAATATAATGAAGGGTAGCAAATGGACCTGATGTAATCTGCATACTGTGTGCCCCAGCTAAGTATCCACTGCTCTGAAAGCGCTGCTTGTTCTCTGAAAGGAAGAATTCTTTCAGGCAGCGGCACTTGCCCCCTCCTCTATGAGGCTGCTTTTCCCTTACACTCCCAGGATTCACTGCCAGTCATTTTTTGCCCTAAAAGTTTGCTGGAGCAACATCCCCATTTACCCCATGTCTGTACAGGGCCAAGCTCCGAATGGGTTGGCTTTAAGGTCCCTTCCAACCCAAACCATTCCGTGGTTTGGTTGGAACTTTATGATTCTAAAAGATGTGTGTATAAGCAGGAAATTCTTCCCTGTGAGGGTGCTGAGGCGCTGGCACAGGGTGCCCAGAGAAGCTGTGGCTGCCCTATCCCTGGCAGCATTCGAGACCAGGTTGGACACAGGGGCTTGACGCAAGCTGCTCTAGTGGGAAGTGTCCCTGCCCATAGCAGGGTTGGAACTGGATGAGCTGTAAGGTCCTTTCAACCCAAATCAGCCTGTGATCCTACGTCCCATCTACAAGATTTTGGTGTTGGCCTGGCATGTTTTGCTAGTATTTGTATGGCCTAAAGAAATTATTTGGAAAGCAGCAGATGCCTTTGGGAAATATCGAAAGAGGAATAAAATAGACTGAAAGAGAATATCAACTGGTCAACTGGCCCAACAAGAGACAAAAAAATGCAACTCTAAAGTGATTGCCAACAAGCGGGCTTGTAATGCCCGCTCAGGAAGAACACGCAGCTCCTTGTACGCTTTCATTCTGCAGTCCCCATTCACACAAAGTGTTCATGCAAAGAACATAAACTGCTGCCCATTCAAATATAATACAGTTCCTAAATCTGCTTTTTTCAAAACCACAAAATACGCTGTCTCAGGAGGAACAAGAGACCAAGTACTAGAAAATGGGATGTGGGGTTTGTTATAGCCACAACTTTAAGAGGTGCTCCAGGGGAAATGTAAGTAAACGTTAATGATAGCAAACTAACAGCCCACTGGATAACCGACAACCCACCAAAACACAGGCCAACAACTGGAACAGGAGAAATTATTACAAGTACCTCACAGCAAAATTAAGATGCCAAGGGAAATTCCCAAGTACTAAAAAGACACTGGAAAAAGAGTCTTTGCTCCACCACTGGTGTCATTGCTGGGCTTCTGCCCCAGTGTCACCTATTTGGATTAACCTCCACTTCACAGAATCATAGAATCATTGAATAGCTAGGGTTAGAAAGGACCTTAAGATCATCCAGTTCCAAACCCCTTGTCATGGGCAGGGATGCCTCACCCTAGACCCATCCAAGACAATACCTCACCCAAGACTGTCCGACCTGGCCTTGAACACTGCCAGGGATGGAGCACTTAACCACTTCTTTGGGTGGCCTGTGTCAGGGCCTCACCACCCTCACAGTAAAGACAGGAAGTAGTTAGAGACAGCATACAGAAAACAGTCCTGAATATGCAAGAACTCAGGTGTATTTAGAAATTTTGGGAAAGACTGACTGGTCTCAAATGACTTATCTGAGGGCCTGAAATGTGAGAAAATCTCTGAAGAACTGATCAAAAATCGGTAGCAATTTATCTTGATAGTAAACACGGATGCATGAAATAAAGCAGCTTACCACAAAACGGCTTTTGACTAAGAGTGGAAAATGTAATCAGGAAGAGCATGCTTTGGGTAATTCTACATTCTGTTGAGGTAAATAAAAAAGTAAATGCCAGTAGGAGGGAGAAAAAAACCAAACTTCTGTACAGTCAACACTGGGCACGTATTTGCATGAGGCAAGTGCAAGGAGAGCAGACTTCCTGAGTGCCAGAATAGCAGCCAGCAGCCCTCTCTTGGATAGGCAAAGAAGTAGGATTTACTCTCAACTCT